TTCCCGAGGACGTTTTGTGGGCGGCGACGGAAAGTTCCAAGGCCCCATCTGGGTCCGAGGGAACATGCGACATGCGCGTCCCGTCCTCTCTGCTTAACGACTACGGGGAACTCGGAGCGTTCCGGCGGCTGCTGCTTCTGTTTGGGTCGAGGGCGCCTTTCAGCTGCTGAGACCCGGGTGGCGCGCGGCCCGGGGGTGACCTCAGACTCCGCTGATGAAAGAGTCTCGAGCAGGCCCCCGGGAGCCCTGGACTCCGCTCCCGGCCTCCCATCTACCGGCGCTGGGCCACTCGCTTTCCCCTCTCCGTACTCGACTTCCCCTTCTGAATGATGGGGGAGTGGTTCTTTAAGTCTCTTTGGTTCTGATGGCCCACTCTAACTCTAGGGCTTTATTGGCGCATTTGAGAAACAGAGAGAGGACAGTGGTCATCAGAGTCCCCGCAGACTTCCTACACTCCCTCATAAGGTGCCCGCGTCAGCCGCAAGCTTGCGTCTTTAGAGAAAAAAATACCCTAGGGCCTCTCCCTAGTCTGTTCCCCCTGTGCTTGGGGTATTTACCGAGCGTATTGTAAAAGCGTCCTCCTTGCAGTGTGTGGCAGGCGAGGTAGGCCGGAGTCGGGGGTGGGGGGGGTGGGGGGTGTGTGTGTGAAAGTATTCACCAAGATAGTTATGAATTAAGAAAGGTTAGATTTATTTAAGGGAAGATATGTTGTGACAGGCACAATGGCAGGACAGCAGCAAGAGTGTCTGCCGTCTGCAAAGAGGCAGAGGCTAAATAAGAAACTTTTGTACGATTGTATCGGCCTGCTGGACTCAGGTGATCCTCCCACCTCAGCCTTCCAAGTAGCTGGAACTACTTGGGCGTGCATGCGCCTGGCTAATTTTTTTCATTTATTGTAAAGACAAGGTCTCATCAGCTTCCCCTGGCTGGTCTCAAACCCTGGGGCTCAGACAATCCTCTCGCCTCTGCCTCCCAAAGTATTGTGATTACAGGCGTGAGCCACCACTTTTGTTTTTTAACAAAACAACAAGGTGGTTTTTTGTTTTTTTTTTTTTAAACATCAGTTTTGAGGCCAGGCACCGTGGCTCCTGCCTATAATCCCAGCACTTTGGGAGGCCAAGGTGAGAGGATTTCCTGAGCCCACAGGTTCTAGACCAGCCTGGGCAATTTGGCGAGATCACATCTCTACAATAAATCAAAAAAATCAGCCAGATGTAGTGGCACACACCTGTAGTTCCAGCTGTTTGGAAGGCTGAGGTGGAAGGATCACCTGAGCCCAGCAGGTCAAGGCTGCAGTGGCCACAAGCGTGCCACTGCACTACAGCCTGGGCAACAAAGTGAGACTCCAACTCAAAAAAATAAAAAGAAATAAATAAACACCGGTTTGTTCTTTTCACAGCAATAGTTGACTGCCTTTTTTGTTTGTAGAGGAGCCAGGAACCAGCAAGTTATTAACTACTTTCTTTGTTGGCTGCAGAATCAAAAGCAAACGTTTTACAGCTGGCTATCAATCCAACCTTTACAATTCTTGTTATTATTTCATTCTGAGTTCCTTCCTTAATAGAGTGTACCCAATTTACTCAATTGATGCTGGCCTAATCAGGCCTCATGTTCCTTTGCACGCCTCCCTCCCATCTTTGCCCAAATTCTGTGGGGCAGGCAGACTCGCCCTTTTGGCATGGCGCACTGCCTCCAGCTGTAGCACCCACTGGCTGTGGAGAGTTCAAACACTCAGAGCAGAAATGGTGCAGTTCGTCAGCGCTGGTGTTTCTGTTCCCTCCCAGCTGCTCTTCATCCATGATGGCTTAAGAGTTGACCACATAGCCGGGCTCGGTGGCTCAGCCTGTAATCCCGCACCTTGGGAGGCTGAGGTGAGTGGATTGCCTGAGCCCGAGGGTTCGAGACCTGCCTGAGCAACTTGGCGAGACCTCATCTCTACAATAAATAAAAAAAAAAAACTAGCTGGGCGTGGTAGCACACGCCTGTAGTTCCAGCTACTTGGAAGGCTGAGGCAGAAGGATCACCAGAGCGCAGCAGGTCGAGGCTGCGGTGATCAGGAGCAGCCACTGCACTTCAGCCTGGGCGACAGAGTGAGACTCCAACTCAAAAAAAAAAAAAAAAAAAAGAGTTGACCACAAATGGACTGACTCGCTCTCCCATCCAAAGAGTCTGCAGCGAGGCATGTGTCCTTACCCACATTTCAGTGGTTCTCCGTGGCATGGGGAGCTCCAGTTGTCCACAGCTGTCTTTTGCTCACCAGTACACCACCATCTGTTGGCTTCCTGACTTTCCCTGTCTCATTACCCCTCTCCTCTACTGGTGTTTCTTGGGATCACCTCCCAAAAAACGACTGCACTTGCAAGCAAATCCTTGTTCCAAGGTCACCTTTTTGGAGAACTCAAGCTGTAACTGAATCCAAGCTCCTACTGCCCACTGCATGACAGCCAATAAGTCCAGAGACAAGGTGTTGGGGCAAGGAAGGCCATTTTTATTTAGAGAGCCAGCAAACCTAGAAGATGTCCAAGTCAACATGACCTTCAGACTTCTTTTTATGTTAAGGGAAGAGGAAAGAAAGAGAATGGGGTTAGGATTGAGTGGTGACCAGTAAAGAGCTCTTTTTTGAACTCCTGCTAGAACCCAGCTAGAGCTAAGGAGACAGGCTAATTTTTTTTCCACCTGGAATTGCTTAGATGGAACACTATCTGTTTGGGACGGCTTGCTACTGTCTTGCTGTCTTACAGAGGGAGAACCCTGACTAAGAATCTAGCCTTCCGTCCCTCCTAGTATTAGGCCTGGCCATGTGGATATGTGAATATGTTTTTGCCAGTAGAATGTAAGTGGTATGTATCACTTCCTAGTCTGGACCTTAGAATTTGGGTGTGCCTTCTCCTCCTGAGACAGGACATACAACCAGTAGCAATATTGGAATGAAAAGATGTAAGGAATTTACCAAAACGGTAAATGTGCTGAATCATAAAGAAAACTCTAACAAATTTCAAAAGTTTGAAATAATTCTAAACAGTTTCTCTGACAACAATGAAATTAAGATGCTTGGAAATTAAGCAATATTGTATACTCCTAAATCACAACAGTATAAGAAAATGTTTTTGACTGAATGATAAAGATATACCATATCAGGATGGGTAAGATACAGCTAAATCTGTGTTTAAATGGAAATTTGAAGCCTAAAGTACATATATTTAAAAAAAGAAGAAAGAGTGAAAAATCAATTATCTAAGCTTCCATCTTATGAAACTAGAAAAAGATGATAAGTCAAACCCAAAGTAAGTAGAAGGCAAGAAACCATAAGAAGAAACAAAGGAGTAAAAAATAAATGTACAATAAGTCAACAAAGCCAACAGGAGGTGTATTTTTTAAAAGATTATTTAAAATTGTTAAGCATTCAAGATCAACAAATGTTTATGTTGTTTTTGTTCTATTTTTATTTTATATTCAGGGGTGTACACATGCATATTCATTACATGGACATATTATGTAGTCGTGGGGATTGGGTCTCAGGTGGCCCATTCCCCAGATAGCGAACATTGTGTCTGTAGGTGATTTCTGAACCTTAACTTCCACCCCCATCAGCATCCCCAGTGTCTGCTACTTCCATCTTTGTGGCTGTTTAGCTCCCTCATGACCAAGAACATGTGGTTTTGGTTTTCTGTTTCTGAGTCAGTTTACTTAGGATGATGATCTTCAGCTCCAACCTTGTTGCTGCAAAGGAATGAAAAGATTTCATTCTTTTTTATGGCTGTGTAGTAGTCCATGGTGTCTATACCACATTTTCATTATCCACTGATCAGTTGATGGGCATTTAGTTTAATTTCACATCTTTGCAATAGTGAATTGTGCTGTGATGAACATGCGGTACAGGTGTCTTTTTTATATAATGGCCTCTGTTCCTTAGGGTAGATACCTGGTAGTGAGATTGCTGGATCAAATGGTAGATCTACTTGTAGTCCTTTGAGTAACCTCCATACCACTTTCCAGAGAGGTTGTACTAATTTGCACTCCCACAATGTATGTGTTCTTTTTTATCCACATTTATGCCAGCATCTATTGTTTTTTATTTTTTTAATAATGGTCACTCCTCACTGGTGTTGGAAAAATCTGTTTTTTCATATTGTCAGAATTCTTTTTATGGTTCCTTCTCATTTGGGTAGACAGTTTCTTTTTATTTGAGACTGGCAGGAGGCTGAAATAGGCACTGTAGGGTTCCCTAGGTTATATATAGCCTTGATGTGCTGTGTACCTGCACTGACTGATAGCATCCTGAGTGACTGGAGTGGCTTGGAGAGTGCTGGTAGCTGGTGCTTGGGATTTAGGCTTCCCTAAAGTTGAGGCATTGTATCCACTGTGACTGGCTGTATTGTTGACCTCTGGTCAGGAGGTGGATCTCGTGGGAGAAAGCTGGCTACAGTGGTGGTTGTAAGGTTTCTCCTTGACAAGTGTTGCTTCAAAGAAATGCCCAGCCAGCCTAGGCCAAAGGTGGGACTCTGGGGATTTCCCAAGTTCTCTGTTTTGAGCCTTCTGGGGTAATGCAGGGGAAAGGAGGTGAGGCACTCAGGAAGCCCTGTAGGTTTGCAACAGGAGCACAGAACTCTTAAATTCCCATCATCCACCTTCTCTATTGTGTCTGAAGGTTGTGGTGGTACAGGCAAGAGTCCAGCCAATTCCAGCCCAGATCAGTAGATTGTTTTCTTCTTATCTGCTCTAAGTGGTTATTGTCACTCCTTTGGAGACTCATGGGTGCATGATCTGGATCTGTTCCTCTCTGGGTGCTGAGAAAATGCTCTATCTTGGTTTACTCTATAGGAGTAACTCACTGTAGCTGCCTCATGTCAGCCATCTTCATTCAGGATCCCAATAAATGAAAAAGAAGCACAAATAATATTAAAATGAAAAAGGGAACATCACTAGAGACCCTAAATACATTAAAAAGTATAAGATACTACAAACAATTCTTTTGACTACGAATTTGACATTTGGACAAAATAGACAATATCCTTGAAAAATTCAGACAAAATCAGGTGAATTCAGGGTAGTATGGTCATAGACTGGAAAATTCAGTTTACCAGAATGATACAGAAAAAAATGCAGAATCTGAATAGTTTAATATCTATTAAAGAGATTGATTCTGTCCACAGATTTCATATCATATATGTAGAAAACCCTGCCAATTTAGACATGCACACACTCCAAAAAGGTTAGACTAATAAATTCAGCAAAATTGCAGAATAGTCCAAAACAATCAAAAAGGTCATTAAGAAAATAGTCCCATATATAGTAGTATCAAATAGCCAGTTTAGTAAGACAAATTTGAGAAAAATAAAACTGTCATTTTCACATACAATGTGATTATATGCATAATCAATCCTAAATAATCTACAAACAATTGGAATGAATAACCGAATATTCCAAGCAACTAGATACAAGGTAATCATACAGATATAAATTGTATTTCTTT